CCCTAGCTTTTCTTTTTTGTCTACTTTCCAACCCAGTTTGAGAAACCTTTTAAAAACCAGTACTCATCAATGATATCAGTGAAAAAGACTGAAATAGCACACTAGTATGAGTCCACAGCAGAAAGTGAGGAACCCTGATAAGCAATTGTCCTCTGTATAAAAAAGCCGCATCCCCTCCAGAAAATGTCGCAGCTTTCCGCAGCAAGTCTCTTGAATGAGAGAAAAAAGGCATATTTGAGGGGAGAAAAATATATGTTTCAAGTGTTGTGCATCACCCAAACACCAAGCCAAAAACTGTCAAATCAAGTCACATTGCAAAGAATGTCAGAGTGAAAGACACAATACAGCTCTACATCCAGGGCTCCACCTTCTCCTCACTTTCCACCGCCGCGGAGGTGGAACATCACGGCGGGGCGGCCTGACAAGTACATAGCTACCACAATGTGCATGAGGTATGTGGGGGAACAGCGTAGTTCTAGGTCCCTGTGCCAAGGATCTGTCTAGCTAAGGTTTATCCATCCTCCCCGGAGGCAAAAAGAAAAAAGCAATCAAAATTGTATGTGGTTATGGATGAACAGAGTAATCAGTCTCTTGCTCGTTTCTGACTTTTTTGACATCTTCAAAGTGAATGGGAGACACACAGGTGTATACTTTAAAGACACTGCTCAGGTGTTATGGAAGTGAATGGGGAGGAAAGCTAATGACTTTATCATTGAGTCCATAGATGGTTCATGTTAAAGTGCCACTGCCTCTATGCTAGATGTGACAGGATCCCAGAGGAGTCGCTCAGAGATACCCTCACTGGGAGCCGGCCCAACACCACCCACTTTTGAAAGGTGGCTCACACAGTAAGAGCATCCTGTTGCATCCAAATGCCCAAATACTGCTGCTGCTAGGTAGGAGACATCTTGCAGCTACACAAAGTAAGAGAGAAATGCAACGGCCCCAGTAAATGCAACCTTTTGCACAGCGTCTCGATCTCGGCTGGGTCATGTGGAGACGTATGTTTTAAGTTGCGCACACAAACCAGTTACTGTCACAGCCTTCAAAAACAAACATCTTGCTCAATGGACGTCCTCTTATTCAGTCCCTGCATCAACTTAAAGTAGTCTAGAATTTAATATGCTGCTATCCAGCATATATAACTACATTATGTGTTTTAATATTTCGGGGTTCATTTAAGACTTGTAGATGAATTATGTTAAAAAAACTGCTTGAAGAGGGCACCTTTTCACTTCCTCCTTAGAAACGCTAGTGGGAGCCAAAATGGCGGCTGGTGAGTAGGAGAAGGACCTCTCACGCAGCAGCAGCAGTCTGGGGCTGAATCTGTATGGAGGTTTCACTGTCATATGAACAAGGGTATAAACATATTATCATCTGTTTTGTACATAATAGTGTGCAACTTTTTTTCCTTATTTGTGAGATTCAAGTAATTAGTGTTGGGCAAGTTAGCTAACTCTACTTGATATCATAAAACATGCTAACCAGGCTAATATTCGTTTTTTACATTATGCCAGTCTCACTTTGGTTGCCTTAGATTTTTTACCACAATGTAAAACCAAATTTTTGTTTTTTAAATAATTTAATTCAAAAAAATTCTAAACACCTATTAACGGGTTTAATTAGCATTTTTATCAATGATTGCATCACATGTAGGCTATGTTTCAACTTCTGCAGCCTTTTTGTTATAAAAAGTAAAAATATTTATTTTAATTCAAGTTATTTTGATTAGCATTTATGGATAATTTACAATGATAACAGTGTGGTAACAAATCCAAAGGGGGGGAGGGGGGGGGCGAAACCCACGACGACACACCAACCAAAGTGAGGGACTGGGCATAATGTTAAAAACCGAATATAGCCTTGTTAGCATGTTTTATGATATCAAGTAGAGTTAAGTTTGCCCAACACTTGAATCTCACAAATAAGGCTAAAAGGTTAAAAGAGTTGCACACTATTATGTACACAAAACTGATGAAAATTTGTTTATACCTTGTTCAGATGACAGTGAAAACCTCCTACAGTTTCCAGCTAAGACTACTGCTGCTGCTGTGAGAGGTCCTTCTCCTACGTCATCGCCGCCATTTTGGCTCCCCTAGCGTTTGTAAAAAGGTCCGACTTCAAAGCTGTTTTTTTAACATAATTCATCTGAACATATAAAAAATGAACACCCGAAATATTATAAACACATATTGTAGTTATATATTCTGGATAGCAGGATATTAAATTCTAGTACTACTTTAATTGCAAATTAAAGAGAGAAACGTAAATCAAGTTATGTTTGAGACTCGAAACTGTGCAGAAACTTACCAAGAAAAACAAACAGACAATCTCGGAAATACACTTTTCATCAAAAACGAGGATGATGAGAGGTTGGCACCCTCACAACAAGATGTGCAGTTTCTCACAATAATGCAAAATGAAATGTACCAAGATGAGACAAACAGCTGGGTAGCACCCCTTCCCTTTGTTACTCCCAGACAACGTTTACCAAACAACAAAGGACAAGCTTTAAAGAGACTCTACACACTCAAACGTAGTCTGGACAAAAAACCTCATATGAGAGAGCACTTTGTACAGTTTATGCAGAAAATTCTGGATAATCAGCAAGCAGAAATCGCACCCCCCTTGCAGCCTGATGAAGAGTGTTGGTACCTCCTATGTTCGGAGTGTACCACCCGCAAAAACCCACTCAAATTCGTGTGGTTTTTGACTCAAGCGCCAAACACGAGGGCATAGCACTCAACGATGTCCTTTTAAGCGGCCCAGATCTTAACAATGCCTTGCTAGGGGTGCTAATCAGATTTCGCAGAGAGCCTATTGCAATAACAGCAGATGTGGAACAAATGTTCTACTGCTTCACAGTAAGGGAAGATCACCGTAATTTCCTGCGATTCCTTTGGCTCAAAGACAATGATATCACAAAGGAAATTATTGAGTATCGCATGAAAGTTCATGTGTTTGGGAATCGACCCTCTCCCTCTGTTGCAATTTACGGCCTACGCAAAGCAGCTGAAGTAGGGGAGATGGAACATGGCAAGGACGCGGCAGAGTTTGTCACCAGGAATTTTTATGTGGACGACGGTCTTATCTCACTCCCCACAGAACTCGAGGCTATTACTCTCCTGCAAAAGACACAGACGATGTTAGCCGAGTCAAACCTGCGCTTACACAAAATCGCCTCAAACAGCAGTAAAGTCATGGAGGCCTTCCCAACAAGTGATTTGGCAAAGGACATTAAAAGTCTAAATTTAGACAACGACCCATTGCCTGTTCAGAGAAGTTTAGGCATTAGCTGGAGTCTTGAATCTGACACTTTCACTTTTCAAGTGTGCAAAGAGAAAAAACCCTTCACCAAAAGAGGTATACTGTCCACGGTCAAAAGTTTGTACGACCCCCTGGGCTTTGTTGCACCTATTACTGTACATTAGAGAACTCACCTCCGGACCATGTGATTGGGACGATCCTTTGTCTCCAGACAAAGAAAGAATATGGTCTGCTTGGACAGATTCTCTTCTTGAGTTAGAGCAAATACACATTCCTAGACCGTACGTACATATGTCTCTATCCTCACAGCAACACAGAGAACTTGTTGTCTTCAGTGACGCTACATCCACGGCAATAGCCGCTGTGGCCTATGTACGTACTCAAAATGACCGAGGACAGCACTTCACTGGGTTTGTCATGGCAAAAGCAAAACTAGCACCACGACCAGCGCAAACTATCCCTCGTCTAGAGCTCTGCGCTGCGGTTCTTGCTGTAGAAATGGCGGAGCTCATATGTCAGGAAATGGACTATAAGTTGCATGCTGTCAAATTCTACACGGACAGCAAGATTGTGCTAGGTTACCTCAACAACACATCACGAAGGTTTTACATGTACGTATCTAACAGAGTCTCGAGAATAAGAAAATCTTCAGTGCCATCACAATGGTATCATGTCTCATCAGAGAACAACCCGGCAGATATTGCTACACGTCCTATAACAGCACTTCTCCTGCCGCAAACATTCTGGTTCACAGGACCACCTTTCCTGACAAAAGAACTATCACAGTTACCTCCGACTACAGACACAAGCCAGTTCAAACTAATCGAACCGGAACAAGACGCAGAAATTCGACCAGAGGTAAACGTCTGTGCTACCCAAGTCAATGTCAATAGCAAATCTCTCAGCCCTCACCGTTTCGAAAAGTTTTCATCGTGGAAACATCTCGTTAGAGGTATGACAAAACTCATCCAAGTAGCCAAAAACAGATCCAAAGCTGCAGACCAAAACACAACAAACTCATATGTTTGCTGTCTGTCTTAGCTAAATAGCTCACAACATTTAGTGAGGACAGAACACATAGGTTTATTTAGATTTGTAATTAATCATTGGTTTTGTATGGTAATTAACACACTTGTTTGTGCTTCTTGTTTGTCTCTTTTTTTTCTGAGGAAAACTTCTGTCTGTTTCATTGGCCAAAATCGTCCCCGCCACAAGCCTCAACGGAGCGTCTACTAAGATGGACCATCAGCGTCTTCCCAGACCCACAGGGGGGCAGCAAAGACAGCAGCATCGGCTGCAGCAGCTAACAGGAACTCTCGAAGAAGACTTCTCCGGCCTCCATTCGATGGAGAGGAACCGGACTTTTGCACAAACCGAGTGGAGTTATGTGCACGAAGAGGAACGGTGTGAACCGAGCAGAAGAGCACGACAACACATTTGTGTGCGTCAAAAATGAGACAAAGAAGACATGAAAGAAAAAGACATTGCAAGGAGAAGAAAAAGATTGAAAGGAGAAGAAAAAGATTGAAAAGAAGAAGAAAGACATTATGAGAATAATAATACAATAATACAGAAGACGAAGAGGAGAAGGGTTTCCGGTGTCATGGCGGCAGCATAGACGGCCACGTCCACGTCCTCTCTCTTCAAACTGAGAAACCGAAACTTTCCTGATGTGACTAAAGTGTCACAACTGGCAAATATAAGCAAACGGCAAACCGTGTCTGCATACGCCTATGCGCCGAACAAGAAAGGATACAGCAGCTAAACAAGCCATCGCGTCCGAGATGACCCAGGAACTTGGCGTGGATAACACAGCCCTCGCAAAGACTATCGAGGAGATCATGTCCAAGTATTTTGAAGAAGCGGACGAGAAATCGGAAGCTCGAAGTAACAGACTCGTAAAACGGCTCGACAACATGCATGCCACCCTTTCTCGACACACGGAAGACATTAAGGCTCTGCGCTCAGATACCACGCAACTGCAAGAGCGTGCGTCTGGAACCGAGATGCAGTTACAATCCCTCTCCGAAAAAATTGTGGAGATGGAGGATCGTTCGAGAAGAGACAACCTGCTCGTCTTCAACCTCAAGGAAGGGGTGGAGGGCTCTAACATGGTCTCCTACCTGACGGAGAACGTCCCACGCTGGTTTCCTGCCTTTGCGCGCGGCGCGCCAGGCTCGCCAAACAACCCAGAGATAATGAGGGCGCATCGGCTTGGCCCAGCACCATCGAGGACCACTCCAAATCCACGCCCGCGCCCGGTTATCATCAAGCTACTACGCTACACCGACAGGGATCTCTTGCTGAAAGAAGCTCGTAAGAAAGTCCCAGAAGTGTCGGGAGTGCAACTCAAATTTGCAGCGGATTATAGCGAGGCAACAGCCAAACGCCGAAGACCGTGCTATAAAATAATGCACGAGGCCCGGGCACAAGGTTTCAGTGCCTTTCTCCTGTATCCAGCAACCATAAAGCTATCCCGGGACCACGACAGCTACACGTTCAGCGAGCCAGGTGAGGCCGAAAAGTTTGTGGCTGCTTACAAAGCTGAGAACGGGTGATGTTAAAAGAACAGGATCTAAACCGCTTCAGACTGCTCTATGAATAACTACTAAGTTTGCTGATATGCAGGTTAGCAGGCTTCTCTGTCCCTGGAAGCCTGTATGCCTTATTTTGCCTTTGTTTATCTACTTTTTATTTTATTTGTTAATTATTATTATTACTGCTCCTACCCTGAGGGAATAGGCAGTGTCAGATGTTATCGATGTTTAAGTTCTACAAATAAAATTCACCATAATTTTTTATTTTTTATTTACTCCTATAGCTTAGCAATCAGCAACATATTTAGGGCGAACAAATAATAAATAATGTCACAATGTCACATATATTTATTCATATTCTTTGAGTAGGTTTTTTATTTCCCTTAGCTATTAATGAAGAGAGAGGGAGGACTAGGCTCTGCCCATGGTTCACTGGTATATTAGTATGGGGAATGGGGTCAATGGGTCTTTTTTTTTTTTTTTTTTTATCTTTTATTTTTATCTTTTATTTTTTCTGTTGTTTCCTTTTTTTCCTTTTTTTTTTTGTGTGTGTGCGCGTGTGTGTGTGTGGGTGTGTGGGTGGAAGCGGGGGGTGGGATGTCCAGGCATAGGTGCACTATGTTATATTTTCCAAAATGTTATCATTATGAATGGATAAAATAAATGTACTTTCATTGAATGCCCGTGGGTTGAACTCTCCACAAAAACGTGCTAGTGTCTTAGATCTGCTACATAGGAAGAACATCCACTTTGCATTTATTCAAGAGTCACACTTCCAAGAAGCTGATACATACAGGTTCAACAATAAGCATTATGAGGTGACCGCGTCCTCCTGTTACACTAAAAAAAGCAAAGGTGTTCTCATAGCCATTAGGCGTAATTTATCATATATTAATCTAGGTACAGGAGGAAGCGGTGATGGCCGAATCACTTATTGTAAAATTTCTTACAATGGCATTAAAATTGCATTGATCTGTGTTTATGCTCCAAATAATTTTGACAAAACTTTTTTTGATTCTTTAGAAGCTATTTTACTAGATCTCCTTGACTATCAGTTTTGTCAAAATTATTTGGAGCATAAACACAGATCAATGCAATTTTAATGCCATTGTAAGAAATTTTACAATAAGTGATTCGGCCATTCTTATAGGTGGAGACTTCAATGCCGCGCGTTTACATCAAGAAGACAGGACAGGGCCAAACGAAAGCTATGATCAAAAACTTGCCTCCAGCGCATTACAAAAAATGACAAGCGATTTTAATCTTATTGATTCTTGGCGTCTTATGAACCCTTCTTCCAGGGAATTCTCCTATTACTCATCACGGCACAAAACCTTTTCCAGGATCGACTATATATTTGTCTCCAAACCACTGTTTCAGTTAATTTACGAAACGGATATGATTCCTTTTCCACTATCAGACCATAGAGCTGTGTCATGCTCACTCAAAGTCAAAACCGGACAGGCTAAGGCATCTCGCTGGCGTTTTAATACCACTTTACTCCAGAACGATGATTTCAAAAATGAACTCAAACAAGAATTGGACTTCTTTATAAATATAAATAAACCTTCAGTGGAGGATCCAAGAATTCTGTGGGAAGCAGTCAAAGGATGTATCAGGAATAAAACTATTTCATTTGCTTCTAGACTTAACAAAGCAAAGAACAATAGGATTAGTTTATTAGAAACCAATATAGTTCGAACAGAACAACAAATGCTAATTCAACCAACACCCGAAAACACTATAAAACGTCAGGAATTATTAGAGGAATTGAATCAATTGCTGAGACAGAAAGCTGAATTTCAGATTCATCGCACTCGCCAAAAGCATTATTTAAACGATGCCCGACCAAGCCGCCTCTTAGCCCTTAAAATCAGAAACAGTGAGCAGCTTGCAAATATACCTGCAGTCACGACAGAGGAGGGCACTATAACTTCTGACCCCGCCGGCATAAATAACACGTTTAAAAAATTCTATCAAAAACTTTATGCCTCAGAAGCCACCTACAACAGCGAAACCTGCTGTAACTTTCTAAACTCCCTCCACTTACCTAAAATCTCATCTGAAAGCGCTAGCTTACTCGAAAAGCCAATCACCTTAAAAGAATTAACCCAAGCAATAAACTGCATGAATAAAGGCAAGTCCCCGGGTCTGGATGGTATTCCTCCAGAGCTATATTCAGTTTTCTGGTCTCAGCTTGGCCCACTTCTTCTAGATATGATTAATTTTTCAATCTCCCAAGGTTCCTTTACAGACAGCAGCAATGTAGCTATCATAACCTTACTGTTAAAGAAAGACAAGCCGCCTACCGAATGTGCCTCCTACCGACCCTTGAGCCTCTTGAACACTGAACTTAAAGCCTATGCCAAAGTTTTGACAATGAGATTAGAGCACATCATGACAAGTCTTGTACATCACGACCAAACAGGGTTCATAAAGTCACGTTTGGCCTCTGATAACGCGCGCCGGTTACTCCATATTTTAGATTCATCTTCCAAGTCCACAGTGTCAAACGCAATTCTCTCGCTTGATGCAGAGAAAGCGTTCGACCGCCTAGAGTGGGAGTATTTGTGGTCAGTACTTCAGCATATGGGCTTCAGCGAGGGGTTAATCTCTATGATTAAGACATTATACGCCAACCCCACAGCAGTAGTGATAACAGGCAATACCTGCTCCTCTAGATTTAAAGTATCTCGCTCCTCTAGACAAGGCTGCCCACTGTCTCCGTTCCTATTCTGCCTATCGCTGGAGCCCATTGCTCAATTTATCAGGCAATCAGAAAATCTGGCACCAATAATGGTCCACAACACCCCCCATTATATTTCCCTTTACGCCGACGACATTTTAATTTATACAAGCAATCCACACATATCAATACCATTCCTTCTTCAATCTTTCGAACAGTTCGGAAAAATGTCAGGTTATAAGGTGAATTGGACAAAATCAGCAGTTATGCCATTGAATAAAACCACAACCAACTTGGAATCTTTTAATATTCCCGTGGTTGAAAGTTTCAAGTATCTGGGCATCTCCATATACCCGGCAGTGAACACTTTAATCAACAATAATTATAATAAAACATTGCATTCTATTACAAACGACCTAAATAGATGGGGCTCACTCCCAATATCCTTTCAATCTCGCCTTTCTATCATAAAAATGAATGTTCTACCGCGCATTAATTTCTTTAACTCCATGCTCCCTTTGGCCCCTCCAAAAGGATATTGGAAAAAACTACATGCCATCATAGGTTCCTACTTATGGAATTGGAAAAAACCAAGAATAAAAACCTCAACATTATACCGGCTTCAATCATCAGGTGGCATTAACCTCCCAAACTTCGAATGGTATTCATGGTGTTTTGCCCTACGTTCACTTTCTCTTTGGTTAAAACCAGACATACTCACATCATGGAAACCAATCGAAGAACAGTTACTTAAGCCCCATGACATGTCATGCTTTTTATACTCTAATATACCACTAAAGATAGTAAAAAACAAATGTGGTCCAATTATCTCTCATCTCATCTCCGTTTGGTATAAAGTCAATAAATTCATGAAAATAAAAAACAATTATTATCAACAATCTCCAATTTTCCATAATTATGCATTGCTAATAGGCAAAAAAATAGCCTCCTTCTCTCCATGGGAACGCCAAGGGGTCCACACGCTCGGGAAAATAACAGACCAAAACGGACTAAGAGAATTCAAAGACCTGCAGGAAAATCACAAATTACCTGCAACGTCATTTTTTTTTTACTTGCAAATACGAGCAGCGATGCGTGCCCATGGCGTCCCATGGGGATGTCGCTTAGAAAATCATCCCCTCCATACCACTTTGTGTAAGGAAAAAAACAATGGCCTTGTTTCAGATCTCTATATACTTGTCACTAAAGCCTCTTACAAACAATTGCCTATTGAACACTTCTGGAAAACAGAGCTAAAAGATCATTCTGAGTGGAACTGGACAAATATTTGGTCCAATGTATCTCTGTCTTCGAGAAACCCAAACCACCAAATGATCCACTACAAGTTCATTCATAGGGCTTATCTCTATCCTAGGAGATTGCACCTGATGAAACTTAAGGACAATCCTTATTGTGACTTCTGTTCAGACAAGGTCATTGGGACTTTTCTTCACATGGTATGGGAGTGCCCCCAGGTTCACTGTTTTTGGGAAAATGTTGCTGGTGCTCTGTCAAACCTAATGGAAAGAGAATTGCCCTACACTCAGAGGTTACTCTTACTGAATGAGACTTCCAATCTTAAATTAAATATTAATGAACGCCGCCAAATTCTAGCTGGTCTCACAGCTGCTAAAAAGATGATAGCATGTCGATGGAAACTTAGACAAACCCTGAGTGTGGAGCAATGGCTCTCATCATTTAAAGACATTGTCCAGATGGAGCTTTCAGCAGCTCGGATCCACGGCGCCAAAAGCGAAAATATCTCATGTTGGTCAAATCTGTTACATAAAATGCAGCTACTGTGTGAAACTTGATTGCAAATGCTTTGATTGTACGTAATAACTATGAATGTACAGTACATAACGATATGTATTCCAAATACAGTGTAAATGTTACATAAATATATGTATCCAAAGCTATTTCTGTAGATGTCACTGACGGAGGAAATTAGCAAATATGTTTGTTCTGTCTATCACTCTTGACTACCAAGACTTGTGTTGTTTGCTTTTTGCTTTTTGCTTTTGCTTTTTATTTTTTGTTACCATGCCTGGACAGTAGGGGTGGGACATGGGGGTGTGAGTGAGTGTGTGAGTGTGCAGTATCTAAGTGTGGTATTGTTTTACTGTATCTTTATTTCCTTAAAATTCATATGAACATGTATTGTGCATTTCTGCTCATACTAAAAGACCCATTATCAACAAAGGGTGAGGGGGGGAAAAAATATATAAAAAAAAATCAAAACCCAATAAAAATTTGTGCTGCATATGAAACTTACTCCATCCCTATTTGTTCTGGTGTAAAACTTATAACCCGCACAAACCCAATAAAAATTTGA